TCTAGTAATTGGAAGGTCTGATGTGCACAGATTTTGTCAAAAGCAAAAATATTCTGTGTGCAGTTTACATGGTAATACTAAAAAAATAACAAAGTTGGCAGTCTGGTACAAATGCAATATCACTAACATGATTTCGATAATTTTAAGGGAAAAAACAATAATTATTGGCAATCTATTAAGCATTAAGCGAAAATCACCTATTTCTAACTTTAATTAGTACATGTATACAAATAAAACCAATACTTCATTTACCTCGAAATAATCGACCAAATTTCATCGACTAAATTAATGCGTTAAAAATCCATGATCACTTTAAAATTCGACAAACCAAAACCCTTAAAACAATGTACAGATGGTAAAAAGGCGAATAATTTAAAAATAAATATTCTCTTGTCTTATATTGATGCAAAAATTTCTATATTTGCAAAAGGAAACTGGTAAAAATTTAAAAACATGGCGCCTTCTTTCCAAGATTATAAAACGCTTTCTCATTGGTCAATTCTAAACTCGCGTCAGTCTCTTCTGTAAACGCTCGGCTTTCCAACTTTCGCCACTGATCTATTTTGGAAGAGCATTGGGCTGGTATTCCAAAGGTCGTAGGTTCGAATCCCACCGTGGCCGGGCATATTGTTCAAGCTCGCCCGGTGTGGATATGCACTCAGAGTAACATCACAAACATATTATTCACCTGAGTACACAACACCAGCACAGAAAAAAAATTCATATTACAAGAACACATTGGTATTGAAGGAACTAGATACTGTTCCGAAATATCACTTACTCGAACCGTCCTGACCGCGTAGCTCAGTTGGAAGAGCATTAGGCTGGTATTCCAAAGGTCGTAGGTTCGAATCCCACCGTGGCCGGGCATATTGTTCAAGCTCGCCCGGTGTGGATATGCACTCAGAGTAACATCACAAACATATGATCTATATATGTTTTTAACTTATGGGCTTTCAAAACTAATTTTTTTTGTCAAGCCAATCAATGGCAGTGTGACGTCAAAAAGAAATATATTCCAACAGTTGTATTTCTGCACGTCTGTTTATTTCAAAACTTCAGAAAAAGAAACTCCTACTGATCCAGAAAAAATTTCTGAAGAAATATCAATTTCATAAACTGACGGCAGCGGCCCAATCTTACCCTGTGTTATTAATTTATTACGTTATATCTTTATATAAATAGTATATTGAAAATCATTAGAAAATCCTGTGTTATTAATTTATTACGTTATATCTTTATATAATAGTATAATGAAAAGCACTTACATGTGCTTCCTGAAAGATTTTAACGAGAACCGGCCAAGATTGGCGTTGAGAAGAGGTTAACGGCCATGGTTGGGGTTGACATGAGGATCCTCATGTCAAAGATAAAACGTAATAAATTAATAACACAGGATTTTCTAATGATTTTCAATATACTATTTATATAAAGATATAACGTAATAAATTAATAACACAGGGTAAGATTGGGCCGCTTGTGCATAAACAAGTTGTGAAGTCTTGCTTGAATTTTAGGTTAACCTATAAAGGTTAAGCTAATTGGCTTTCTAACAACCAACCGTTGTCTTTTCTACACTGGACGACATTAAAGTCTGAGACAATATTATCGTCTAACTGATAAGTCTATGCCAGTATGGGTGAGTACCAAAAACATCAAAGAAATGCAGTCGGGTAGGATATGGATTTAAGTTAAGTACCAGAAAAATGCAAGCAACATTCGACGTTTCAAGCGAAGGCCCTTCGAAGGCCGTCTGTAATATAAAAACAGCCATAACAGAATTAACGTCACATATAAATAGCATTAATAGTATTTTTGCACAAGTGAACATAACAAATCCTACATGTTGATTGGTCAACGACGTCTCGGCGAATATTCCCCATTGGTCAACGACGTCTCGACCAATATTCCCCGATAATCACCTCGCCTTGGGCGAATAATTGTTAATTATTGACTGCTACAATAGACCTTATGCATACACTACAACGAAAACGATAAAGTTATCGTTTGACGATAACGATTTTAAAATCGCTCACCCATTTTTTTTCAGTCGGACGATATATAACGATAAATTTTTTTACCACCAGGGCGCGTATACAAGTATCGTATCGTTATCGTTGTGTAGTGTGACCTGGGTCTTTAGACTACCGAAAATCAACGTCATTCAATATTGCATTATTGTGTACGACTGTTTCACCAAAAAAATTAACGTCATTATTGAATTATTGATTGCTACAATTAACTGCTAAAATTAATGTCATTATTGTATTATTGGCTGCTCAATTCACTATTAAGCCTGATTCTCATTTATCATGAACATCGGCGATGCCCATTGTCGGTGGTCATTGATGCATAAAATGTTTTGTGTATTTTCTTCTTCGTTGCCCACAGACAATAGATCGTAAAACATCGCCGATTAATGAGAACCAGGCTAAACACTGCAAAATCAACGTCATGCATGACTCATTATTGCATTATTGACTGCCACTGAATTCACTATTGCACTACAAAATTAACGTCAGTAGTGCATTATTGGCTGCTACAATTATTTGGTCTGGTAAGCCGTTGCTATTTTCTCTAACAAGAAATGTTCGCAGGGTGAAGCAAAATTCCTCCGTGACATTGTACAGTGGATCGGGAGGTATGCTCGCCATGTTTGGATTTTCACCAATTGCTATCGCCATTCCATGATTGAGATGGTAATCAATATGACAATACATGAACCACCATCCTGGATTATTTTGAAGAAGATGAATAACGACATAACCACCAGCGGGCACTATCACTGTGTCTTTACGGACTGTAGTACTGTCCACAACAATCCCGCCGGGGATGCCATCACTCCATGTTGGGTGCCCGCAAGGAAGCAGCTTTATATCCTTCTTCGGGACTGTGATACGTCCACTCTCGTCATATTCAGGGTAGCCAATTTTAGCAATGAAATACGAGTGTCCGTTCAGTTCAACTACTAAATTTGGATATTGATCCTCCGGAGTCAGTACGTTAGCGCACGTCATATATGAACCTTGATTAGAATAATCTTTTGGCATTTTCTCGAAAGGACAATTCACTTACATGGATTGTATTTATCATTACACCGACCATTCTGAACTATCAATCTTTCAGGAAGTACAGGTCTCATTTGCTCAACTAGAAAACCGTGTCCGTAACTTTCCCCAGCTACCTTGCTATTATCATTGCAAAGAACTGCGAGTAACTGAATCCTGATTGGAAATTTAGAACCCGACAGCACGTCTTCCTTGGCTTTCAAAATGAAATCATATCGTTCACTGACGTTCACGACAAGATAATCCGTTTCAAATGGTTTTACTAAATACCCGTCCGTCGCCATCACATGCATTTCATGATGATCTATGCTGATTACAAAAATGTTCACTATCGTAGCTGAAATGATTCAAAAACGATAGTTCGTACCACCGACCTCGTAAAATTCTATCTGGGTGTTCAAACCTGCAACACTGGCACTTCTAGGAAGACGCTGGCCATTCATTTGAAACTGGATATGATCAAATTGAAATCTCAGGTTGGTCTTCAAATTTCTCTGGGAAGACACGAGAGCTCACTTCTGGTTCGTGTACTATCAACCCATCAAATAAGTCATGATCTCTTTGGTACCAGTGTGTGCCCTGAGGTTGTGCTCGGAAGATATACCTAAATCAAAACATTATATTTATTCGAGGCAAGGCAAAGCATCTCTACTGTAAAGACCGAACGTTTCAGGTCAATAGAGACCTTACTTTGACGTCAGTCGCGGTCCGTTTAAGCCTGGTTTCCACATTGTCGTAAAAATACAGTCATGATCTTTCTCAACGGCCAGTTTATAATAGTTTATACCTGTAAACCACATATAAATCATAAGTATTCTCTAGTTCTAATCACTTTGCGTATTTTCAGTTCTAAAATGTTGTATTTCGGTTAATGAGAAAGATCGTGACCCAACCTTTACGACCGTTACGACCATATGGAAACCAGGCTTTAGTCATCTGCAGGTTGCCATATTTTGGATTACAATGCCAGTTGTACTGTTGAGTTTTCAAATAATTTTGCAAGATTTAATGGTTTTTAAAGATATTTGGATTCATCTAGCTGTTAAAATATCCTGTCTGTACACTACAGGGTGTACTTTGCTTTGTTTGCATTGCGTTGCATTGCATTGCATTGCGTTGCATTCCCTTCCCTTGCTTAGCCTTCTTGCCTTGCCTTGCTTGCTCTACTTTGCTTTGATTTGCCTTGCTTTGTTTTGCTCTACTTTGCTTTGTTTTGGCTTGCCTTACTTTGTTTTGTTCTACTTTGCATGCTTTGATTTGCCTTGCTTTGTTTTGTTCTACTTTGCCTTGCCGCTTGCCATGCCTGCCTTGCTTTGGCTTGCCTTGCAGAAACCCTTCTACTTCAATATATTCGCTTTACTTTACCTAAATTTGCCATGAGCTGGTAGATAGGATACTGTGTGATATTCCCCACTCCATCAATCCATGGAACACTTCTTTGATGCATTCCATGAAAATGTATCGAAGTGTATTCATCCATAGTATTATAAACATCAATTGCTACAATCCCTCGATAACGTACAATTATGGTTGGACCTGGATATGACCCGTTAATTAAACATTTCCCATTCGACTTAGAAAGAATCATTTTAATATAACTAACACGCCGGTTCTATGCCTATGCACTGGCAAGCAGCTGGTCTTCCAATGATGTGTTGACAAGTTATATATTTCGTGGCAGCTTCCTCCGGTGGTGGGTCGGTAGGCAAAACTGCCAAACAACGCACTGCAAGTAGTAATAAAATCCACATATCTAGAAAAAATATAGCAATATATCTCAAACGTACATCTCAGTGTTGCTAGATATACTTGGTATGTAACAGAAAATGTCAATGTGACAGAAAATGACATGATATTATTTATAGGCTTTAAATTATGACTTCACAAAGTTATATTTAAAGAAAACTGTATTGAAAGCAAAATATTGTGTTTTAAAAGTCAACACATAGCTAAGTGAAACACCACTCAGAAATATTCTTTCAAGTTTACAGTTGAAATTGGGATTTGGTCAAAAAATGGCTGGAACTGATGGGATTCAGAAAAAAACAAGTGGGCTAGGAAATTGGATCTAGACCCCCCCCCCCCAATTCAGGACCCTAAATCTGATTTTCCAGCAATTACTATTTCCCAAATGCCAGTAAACTTAAAAAATATTCCTGAGCAGGTGTTTCACCTATGTGTTGACTTTTAAAACACAATATTTTGCTTTCAATAAAAATAACTTCACGAAGTAAAAGGTTTTAAAGTCTATATAAATACACCTGGGGCCGGTTGTATAAAACTCTTAATCACTTTTTTAATCACTATTTTGTAGTTAAATAGTGATTAACTCTCACATAGGCGCTTCTTATTGGATGACATTTCCACTTAACTATGATTAACTTTAATCACTTTTTTATACAACCGGCCCCTGTCATTTTCTGTCACATATACTAAGTGAATCTCTTCTGTCACATATACTAAATAAGACTCGCACTATATAGAAAAATGATCTCAGCCGGAAAAGGACAGAATAATCAAACAAATTTAAAGTTTTTCGTATGTTGATAATATAACGGGCAAGGTACTTTCAAAGCATTTTTCAGCAGTTAAAGCTCCTGTTCTATTATACAATTGCGAAATTTGGTGACCACAATTTGGCGATCATAGATTCTTTTGAGAAGTTTATAAAAGTATGATATTCAAAATTTCAGGTGTCCCCAAAAAAACTATACACTGTTTGATTTAAACTAATATAGCAAAAATGGTTGTTCAATTTAAAACATTGATATTCACTACATATATTCCATATATCAAATTTAAGTCAGCCCTTTCTGGATACGATAAAGTTCATTTCATCATGCATGATAGCTGTTCTAGTTTTTCTGCTATATTAAATCAAACAGTGTATAGTTTTTTGGGGACACCAGGTAGACAGTTGTCAGATTAACATTTTGGTTTCCTCTTGCAATAGTGAAACTTAAACAGCAAGGGACGATCCTTACTGGGCCTTTAGGGAGAGCAGCTTAGAACTACGAGATCTATCTAGTATGGATAAAACCTGGTTCTGTAGATTTACTGGACTCTAGGAAAAATATTTTAGAACTGATATAGAGGCATCAAGCATGTATATATGAATAAAGTTAGTTCAGTTTAGATTCCCCTAAACTCACTGTGTCATGCAATTAGTGATGAGCATTACTGAACCTCTAGAGAGAACAACTTTGACATAACTGATAGAGCTATCCAGTAAAAAGGTAGTTTAGTTTTAGTTTGTACTCGTGAATAGTAAAGCTAATCTACCATTTCGAAGCTATAATACGGGTTCAATAACAAACACTCAACACACAGCTGAGATATTTTCCATGCACTACAAACCTTTGATCTAGTCTCGTATAACGCTTTCTTGTAGTCTTCTATATCTTTCCCTTGAACTGGTCTATCTCCTCATACAGTTTATCTAGTTGATAGTAAATAAAAATATTTATCTCTGAACAGACGAGTTACAGATGGGGTTAGCGCGCTCTCACTGACCGCGGAGTCAAGCCTGCAACCGTACAGGTTGTGTGCATGTTCTTGAGAAACTCATGCAAGTATAGAGTGCGGTTAATGGTTTTCTCTTTTGCTTCAGGACTTTTTTGTGGGTACACTGGGTTAGCTCTCTCACCAAAAAATCAACGGCAGATACTATAGGAGTGGCCAAGAGAGCAACCGCCCTTGAATAAAGCCGGATTTCCACAAATTGCCCTGTCGAAAGTTTTCGCTCAATATCTTTTGAATTGTGAGCGGTCAAGTATAGAACTGATTTATTCGAATGGTCAGCTATAACAATAATTTTACAACCATGAAAGCATCGGTAGGCTATAAAATTGCATGAATTAAAAACAAAAAGTTTTTAAAGAACTAAGATTTGCAGCAGCATATGCATGAGTGGTAATATGGTACAGGAAACCCCTCCCCAACATTTCGCAAAGCGTCGGCAACTACCAGAAACTAATCCTTATAGGGCACGCGTGTGACATAAGCATTTGGTTCGGGTACATTAGGCAACAATACACACAATGTAATCGCAATTAAATTAATTTTTGGTAGTGAAAAATTGTGTTCTCTGAAATTCTCCAGCAAGTTCAACTGAACAAAAATGAGAGTGCATACCTTGGCAAAGTTTCGTTCTTCTTCAGCTTTTAATCTTTCCTTAAAACCGTCCACTTCTATCAAAATAATTATGCATGGGATATCAGGATATAAGTTATGTACCATATAAGATACATATTAAAGGTTCCAATTTGATGGACTTACTTTTAATCTCTCGTTTTCAGCGCGAAGTGAATTTATTTCTTGGATACGAGTTTGTAGTTTCGTGTTAAGAGCTTCCTTAATTGCTTGTCTGTTAATTAAGGGACAAGAGATAAGACAGCTTGTATAAAGACCTTTAAGAAAAAACCATGCATCATTTCTGTGCAAAGGAACACTAAACTTCAAATATACCTTGGCAGTACTTTCAGTGTGTTCAATAATCTTTTCCAGCTCATCAACACGACTAAATAAAACGCAACAAAATTACTGTTAGGCATGCAAATACAGTTTTTTAAAACTGCATGCTAGACGTATATATACAAAACTAATCTCCTGTGTGCCACTAAAAAAAACATTTGTTCCAGGTATGCCGGTTTCCTCCTGGTTCAACGAGGAAAGGATCTTACTGGACTTCTAGATAACACAGTTTAGAACTGATAGAACTATGTCAATTTTACGACAAGGCGCAATAATCGTCAATGAAAATGTGTGAATCATGCAGACTCAACTATATCGTTGCTTATTATAATACTGCCATCTGTGGAACAATTTACCCAACAATGTAGCTACGTCAGGCACCTGATCTTAGGGGTTTCAAAAAACTTATTAACGAAATATAACTTATAGCACAAATGTATTTCGGTTAAGTACTAATTAAGTAATGTAATTTTAGTTTTATTCTGCATAATACCGAAAGATGTTTTGTCTTGGAACGTACAACATTGAAATAAATTATTTGATTGAAGAATTCCTCTGCATATGTACCCCTTAAGTTTATCAATCCTGGCTTCATAAGATGTCTTTTCTCTTTTATACTTTGTTTCTTTATCCTTCCAGACATCTTCATTGAGTTTAGCCTCAGTCAATTCCTGATCCTACAAACACAAAATAGAAAGGTGGCCAGATTTCGCTTTAACTGGTGATTTTTAGATATACTCATCATTTTTAGATTGACTCGATTAAAATGCCTAATAAAGTTACCAATCTCTGTTTTAGCGAGTCCACGTGCTTTTCCAACTCAATAGCACGGTCCTTTTGTAATCTAAATAAAAAAATAACCGGGTCATCATCTACCTATACTATCCAGGCTCGCGGTTGGTTGATTATAACATTGAAAGACAATAAAACTACAGAAATCGTCTTTCTAAAGAACGAGTCACAAACAATGATAATTTTTGTTTCTGATTTGTTTCTGAAAGACGAAAGCCAATCACAAAACATGACCATTTTAAGTAGGTCTTTGCCCAAATAACCCTCAGGGCCGCCGAGAGGGAAGGGGGGGGCAGGAAGGGGCAAATTGCTCCGGGCCCCCAGGTTCTGGGCCCCCCCGGAAATTTTTGTTGGGCCCCAGTCATTTTTTTGGGTTAAATATTTCCGCGCAAAGGGCAAGATATTTGGGGTTTTTTGGACAAAGCACTGAAATTTTGTATGAAAAATTGAGGTAAAGTCGCTGGAAATCAATCGTCCGGAAACAATTTTTGAAATAGGGCCCCTAAAAAAAATTTGCCCCGGGCCCCCGCCAACTTCTCGGCGGCCCTGATAACCCTATGTAATTATGACCTAATATACTATAATGTAGCACCAGGTAACTAAGTTGTCTGGGACAATTTCCATACAATTATTAATAAAGGCTCTTTTCCACTCATAGCAAAAATCAACTCCTAACTCTAATACGTAACCCAAAACTGAGCAATGATTGATTAAACATGAAGAAAACGACTTTATCGCCATACGTTTCCAGAGAATATCTTGTTTGACCATGACCTGACAAAAATGGAATTAATGGACACAAACCTCGCTGCCTTTTTTAGCACATCTTTCTCTCGCTGACTTTTTTCCTGCAAGACAGAAATAAAATTATTGCACTAGGAAAAAGACTCCACGTTCCCATATCATTCTGACATTGCAGAGTATACAACGAAAAATTCGTTGTCTACATGACCGCCGCCACAGCTACAAACTCAAGCCCCTACTCTCCTTCGCGCCGAGATAAACGCTGTAAGTCTCTAAACGAGAAAGAGACTAGCAGAGAAAGAGATTAACTGCATGGATCAACAGTCAAACTTCTTAATGCCCGTTTACATTCAGTGCAACTTTTGCTACGATTTCTAGTGCGATTTTCTTCTTCTGATGGATGTGAACGAGTAATCGGCGATAGGTTATGATCTGGGTTATGATATTCAGGGGCCGGTTGTATAAAAAAGTGATTAAAGTTAACTATAGTTAGTGGAAACGTCATCGAATAAGAAGTGCGTATTTGAGAGTTAATCACTATTTAACTACAAAATAGTGATTAAAAAAGTGATTAAGAGTTTTATACAACCGGCCCCTGAACCTTAAGCCCTGGGCAAACTAGGAAACATTGTTGTGGAAACATTTGTGATTCTCGATGTTTTCTCAAATGTTTCCCTGTTTGCCCACCCGAGGAAACATTGTTGCGGAAACAAAATTTGCTTCCCGAAAAGCAAAAATGTTTCCTAGCAACTTCAGAAACTTTTCATGTTTCCCTATGTTTCTTGCTAATGCTTCCTAGTGTTTGCCCACTCTGGGAAACATGGCGAAACATTGGCAGGAAACAATGTTTCCGCAACAATGTTTCCGCAACAATGTTTCCGCAACAATGTTTCCTAGTTTGCCCAAAGCTTTAGAGAGTTCAATGATATACCCTCATCTGAACATTCATAACTCATGAAGTCATTTAAATCCATCAGAAGAAAATAGCACCTAAATAACAAGTGTAAACGTGCAAAAATTTTGCTGTTTCACTTGTGGGACCATCCTCGCTCCCAGGGCCTCTCGCGACCATCATAAGCTCTGGGATATATGGAACTGGAAGTGCAAGAAAAATTGCATTAGTTTCTAAATTTTAACAGAGAAGTATTACGAAGAAACGAAGTACTTGTGTTCACATTTGTTGATAGAATAATTTTGCGTAGCGAAAACTGCTCAACTTGTGGGAAATAGCAGTTCTCTGAGAAACCAATCATCTAACCCAAACCAATCATCTAACCCAGAGCCTAATTTTCAACGAGTGACCGAGTGAAAATGGCTCTGGGGACGAGAATGTTGTGGGACTTAAATGATAAAACGTGCGTGCTTGTCCACATTAAAGCATTTAAAGTGCGCATGTTCAACCAGATTATACGTCCCACAAGCTTAAGAGCTATTTTGGAAAAAACCTCGCCAATCGTGCTATAAGTCGATTAAATACCTCGAACGTCAGTTTTAAGGCCCTCTGACAATGCCGAGTACAACGAAACATTTGGTGTCTCAAGCGAGATTGGAACTCGCATCTTCAGACCGTCGCTCTATCATTGAGCTATTGAGTCAACTGGGATTGGTAGCGAGTCTTATCCAATTCAAGTGCACGAAATATGTGAATAATATAAAACTAGTCTTTCATATCTCTGAGGATGGTTCTGAAATTTCCCGTTTTCTTTCCAAAACTTTCCTTAATTTACATGCAGTACTTGATGCCCCCTGCCTACATTTTTATCAACTATAGTTATAGGCTAATAATTTTCGTTCGAAAATTCATATTTTCTATTTTTATTTCTTCATATAAGAGTCTGTTTGAAAACAATAGATATTAATGTTGTTTTACATTTTTCATTTTACAAGAACCAATAAGCTTTCAACTTTAAGGTTTTGCATTTGCTTTAATTGTAGTGAGTTGCAAATATATAGATACATAAATAATTAAAGACAGGGCAAGTAGTTTTTTGCTCATCTCAAAGTGTTCATCCACTACAACCTGTTTTATCCAATGGAGGAATCTGCCATGGATGAGATTCCTCCATTGGATGAAACAGGCTGTATAGTGGCAACGTTTATGTAAGTGAAATACTATATATACGTAAATAATTAATATACTGTAATTTTCAATAAGTATAGCCACTTTCTTAAGACCGATTTACATCACACAACTTTTGCCTAAAACTGTCGCATGCAACCTGCTTACAACTTGATTTGTACTGTGTAAATCAAGCACACAACTCATCTACGATAACGCGTACGTATGTGCGTTGTGTGCTGGATCAGTAATTCAAGCTGTGACTGTGTAGTGCAAATCGACCTTATTAAAAAAATAGAAGCGCTCATTTAAAACAAATTAATTATACTTTTATATTATTATTAAAACTTTATTTTCACACGTACTCAATTTTACAAAAAGTGCTCCTCCATGGAGCCGTGCACACTAAAAATAACCTATACATATATGGACATATACATATCTAGACCACACGGGGATTGGTAATGAGTGCAAGAAATATACTTGTTTTCTAAGAACGCAGCATGAGGAGGAATCTTGTAAATAAATAATCATTTGCACCCATTTCCATAATCATTGCACAGCATTGCTGGAGATTGCAGTCCATACACAGAACAATTAGTTACATGGACCAGATTCGCCTATTTCATGGTTTTATCTATACATGCATTCAAATACAGGTTCTTGGTGACCAATATATACAAGAGCAGAGACACAACTCGAGTCTTTTTTGTTTTCATTAAACGAAGGATCGTTATTGGGGACAGATTTGTAATTCTCTAAATGGATGCTTGGCAATACCGTGACAACTTGTAATTAGAAGCAGTAGTGTTGGCGCGAAAAGTTATGTTTTTCAGCACTACGACGGTCACAAAGTTTATAACACTGACCATTTTGCAGGTTGTACACCAGATAATTTTTGCTGCAACTTGCAATGCAATTTTGGACAAAGAGCCATGTTATTCAAAAGGTGGTTATGGAGAAATTATGAGCATGGCCGGCATTCTACCCAGCCGACACTGCATAATAAGTCCTCAGGGAATGAAAAAAGGTCAGAAGAGTAAACTGGTCACGCTCACAATTTCCCTGCATTTTAAATAACACGGCTCTATGTCAAAAATTGTGTTGCACGTTCCAGCAAAAATTAACTCTCGTAGATCTTAAGTAAAGAAGACACATGATATTGTTTGGAAATCACAACGATGAATTTCGATGGATGGATGGATGGATGGAACGATTCGTCAAAAATTTATACTGTATCTGTGGTACTCATGGATGTTATTCTCTTGGAACACATGAGAAATATGTGAATCTATCTCAGTATTATGGATTACTTTGCTACGCCTACTGTAGTAGATCAGGATCAATTAGGATACAAGAGGTGTACTGAGACAATCCGTTATTCACCCACCATATCATATGACGCCCTCTCTTCTCCCGCTCGCACGAACGTTGCAATGCAGGCTACCACCTGCATATCCCCAATCCACGTATTATTGGACGTTTCCGAGGTTAAAATACATTCATATACTAAAAAATCCCTCTCATCCTGCCGTCAAAAGTCAAGATCCAAGCATTAAGAAATACCACAAATTCAAAGTACTAACATAAGGTAATTTATTAATATTTTGGTCTAGTTTTTACATTTTTAGTTTGTCTATAATCAATCTCTTTATTTGCCACATTGGTGTAATTAGAGAATTGCTATATGTATGGTAGGTAGATGGGGATAGTAGTGCATTTTTACGGTCTATTAAACCAATACTGAACTTTTTTGGATCAGTATTACTAGTAGTACATGCACTTATATAATCTTTCGTTTGCCGTTACAATCTTCGTATTTCAGTCAAATAATTTGTCTACTTTGTAAGATCTGCATGCTTTCACAGTGAGTAAGTTGTTTGTTTTGCTAATAAAAAGTATCCATTGTTTTGTTTCATTTGCACCTTCACTGCAGGATGGAAGATGGCAATTTTAACGAAGAGAATAACAATTTTAATGAAGATTTAACCGATGATGAAAGAGGAGAATATGATGATGGTAATGGTAATGTTGATGAAATGCTAAATCCAGAATCAGCACAAGACAGTGGGAATCCTGACATGATATATGAGCCAGACACTGTAGCTGATATAGAAGATGAACTGGGTGGAATAATTGCTGTGCCGGATGATGATGAGCAGGTTGTATTGTTGATGTGTGTTAATACCACTCCAGGACTTTAATTTCATCACAAATCTATTGAACAGCAATCCTCTATTAGATTATGTCAAAATAAATCTTTTTCAAGGATTAAATAATACTTAGCAAGGTCATGTTAAGATATGTAGTTAAGCCACTGTAGTTTGAGAAACATAATACATTTCTAATTTGTTTGTTCACCACAAAAGTATCTGGGACCAATGCTACGCTAATATAAATGTGACTTGGTTAAGTGGTTAATTAAAGTGAAAATTTGATGGCTGGATTTTGAAACTCATGCATGGTTAACACCCGTATTCTAAAAGCTCACTCACACTCAATGAGTGGAGGTTCAATCTCAGCTTTTGTTGAGTGTCAGTGCTGTTTTTGAATACCTGGAGGGTGAGTAGTCACATAGTAAGGTACGATACTAGACCTCCAGCTATTCAAAAACAGCAATGATACTCAAGAGAAGCTCAGATTGAATCTCCACTCATTGAGTGTGAATGAGCTTTTAGAATACGGGCGTAAGTGGTTAATCAAAGCAGGGTGTCCACCCTATGGTGAAGGTGAAATTGAAGGACTTTTCCAGGACTTTCAAGGTCCTTTTTCAGTAAATTCAAGGACCTAGAACTGGGAAAATCTTTGGAAATGGCACGGATTTTAGACTAAAATCAGCAAATAATTCACTTTATTCAGTAATTTAATCAAAATCACTAATGTTGGCACAGTTGGAGGTTAAGGAAATTAATTCCAGGACTTTCAAGGACTTCTACTGATTTTCAAGGACTTTCCAGTCCTGGAATTTTTTCCAATTTAAGGACTATCCAGGATTTTTAAGGCCCGTGGACACCCTGTCAAAGTGAAAATTTGATGGCTGAATTTTGAAACTCATGCATGGTGAAGTGGTTAATCAAATCAATCATTGACACTTTGTAAGAAAGTTTTTTTTCTGTAAAATTGAAACAGTGATAGCCATTCATGTCTGTGTGAAGTACCCTTTTAATGCAATGTTTTGAAAGAAACTTTGTAGTAATGTAATCAAGGGCAAAATTGGATGAGTTGTGCAATCATAATTCATAAATACACTACGTGGCCAGGCATATTTTTCAAGTTTGCCCGGTGTGGATATACACTCAGAGTAACATCTCAAACATCATATTCACCTGAGTACACAACACCAACACAGAAAAATACACTAATACATATGTACAGTACATACATACGTCATGTAGCTAACTTTTTTTTTGGGGGGGGGTAGGGTAGGTTCAAAACCCTAACATTCCATGGTGGCCGCTGCACTTCCCCTAAATTTTTCCAACTCCCCCAGCATTCCCACAAAAACGCGGCCTTGGTTCTACTTAAACATTATTGCATCAAATTTTATAGAATTTTGCAATTTGTTTCCACCAAAAAAAACTGTAGAATACCCCATTAATCCACCAAATCTGACCCAAGGAATATCCAAATTGGTGGATGCCATTGTTTGCAATGCTCAAAAGCCTCACGAATAATTGCATATTAAAAGAGTCAAAACAACCAAAATTTTAACGGTCAAAACAACTAGTTTTATTTGCTCGTTTGTATACGCAACTTTTGCAATTTTTACTGTGGTAAGTACAAGTGTAGACTTGAGCTAGCATGCCAGTTTTTTACAAGTACACTTGAGCTGAAAGGATAGTAGACTTCCGCAAAGTCCTTCGTCTTTGTTTAGAAATTGGAAAATTACAATTTTTTCTTGTCTGTATGGGTCAACAAAAGAAACCTTGTCAAAGTAATCTGAGCACTTGCATGCTGTTGGTCAGCGATCTATTGTTGTAATGGATAATAATAGCTATGGTGGCGGTCAGAAAACAAAAAACTTACCATAAAAAACAGCGAGTTTGTCCAATCAATATGTACAGTATAGACAATACCTTGAAACGCAGCTGATGGTATAGAATACCAGGATTTGAAAGGACTCATGTGGAAGGGTTTTGTAGATGGAAACTTCGAGTGAGAATTTTAGGCTCCACGCACACGTATCCAGATTCGTTTGTATCCGCAAACACTTTGTTGTGGATATGTTTTCCGCCCACACGTATATATCCGTCGAAAACGCACACCGAAACCGCAACGCATACTGTGGCAAACTCTTGAAAAGGCAACGAATCTGGATACGTGTGGACGCACTGAAACGGGAACGTTTTGAAAACGATGACGTAAATCGATTAAATTTAATATCCACCCACTCTAACATATAGAACCCAGTCCACGTTGAACCAGTAAACTCTATAAATACTGGAACAATAACTCCAGGTAAACTGTCCTATGATTTGGGTGAAGCCAAGATGATTACGAAGGGGTTTTTCGAAACGCCATTTTGTTTTCAAATAAATTGTTATCTACAATCTAAACCTGGTCTATTTCTTGTTAACTACAGCACATGGGTAAGACCATATACGGATTTGAATCCCAAGAGGATGAAAATGATGTAAGTACTTGTAGTTTTGTTCAGTGTTAGCAGCTTCATGGTTAGTAAGTTGTTTGTCTTGCTAGTACAAACTATTAATTTGTTCTTTTATTCCATTGGCAGCTTGTACAAATTCATGGGCGAGATTTCCCACTACTTTGGGAAGAGGACCCAAATAACCCTGAACCTATCATTCTTGCGCCAACGGCACCAGTTCACCATGACAATGTTCGTGAGACTGATTCAGATGACGAAAATTATAATCCCCATGATGCTTACTAAGTACTTGTTGTGGTGTTGTTTAACTGGCAGCTTCGTGCTTAGTAAGTTGTTTGTTTTGCTTGTTTTGTCTTGTCTTGTCTTGTAACTTTTTGTTGTTTGCTTTCAATTTGAAGCATAAGTACCTGGTAAGTCAGAGCAACCAATAAATGAATCATCAAGGAAATGAAAGTAGTACAACAAGTGAGACTGAAATATTAATTTGTCCTTTTATTCCATTGGCAGCTTGAACAAATTCATGGGCGAGATTTCCCACTACTTTGGAAACAGGATCCAAATATCTCTGAACCTATCATTCTTGCGCCAACGGCACCAGTTCCCCATGACAATGTTCGTGAGACTGATCCTGATGACGGAAATTATAATCCCCATGATGTAAGTACTTGTTGTGGTGTTGTTTAACTGGCAGCTTTGTGCTTAGTAGGTTGTTTGTTTTGCTTGTTTTGTCTTGTAACTTTTTGTTGTTTGCTTTCAATTTGAAGCATAAGTACCTGGTAAGTCAGAGCAACCAATGCATGAATCATCAAGGAAATGAAAGTAGTACAACAAGTGAGACTGATTCGGATGGTGATGAGGATGATTCTGACGAAACTAATGACAAAAATCATCTACAAGCTGTTAAGGCCATGTTACATTGCAATTTTTCTTGCAACTTGCAATGCAATTCTACTCTTGAGAGATGTTAATTAGTGAAATCAGTGAAGAATTTTCGATATGTTGAGAAAACATCAGCGGAGTGTAATGAAGACTCGTATTTG